ATTAGTATACAAGATAACTGGCTAGAGGTGTGTGCTCTTGGATATAAAATTTTGGTGAAAAAACAACAGTCTGTTCATTGATGAAGTTATTTAGGCTGTTACTTTCAGAAGAAGAATATAAGAGAAACAACAAGGCTCTGCTTTTTCTCAAGCTATACTCTTTTACTTGGTTAAGTGGTTTCTCTTTTACTTCTACTCACCCTCTTGTCAGTCTTCCAAAAATTTTGACAAAAAGTAGGGATTTGGCTTACCCCCTCCAAAAGATCAGTATTGTTTATTTCTCAAATCTAGACAGATTAGCAGAATGCAATCATGTGTTTGTTTATAGACAAATATGGTGCTATTTTAAAAAACTCAGTCTGGGAACTCTAATTATGGCAACAAGTAGCTTGAAACATGGGTCCTCAAACGATGGCAGCACCTGGCTCGAGATACAAATTAAGACAGGCAATAGAGCAATCCGGAGTTGGTGAGAAGGTCGAAAAGTAAATTTAATATTAAGGTGAAGCTTTACAGTAAAGATATACAAATATTGTATTTGTTATATAATTTTTATACTTGTCTAGCACAGGTTATAATAGTGCTTTATAGATTGTTATATTTTTTTTGTTTTTTGTTTTTTGCAATTTGTGTCTGTTTTTTCTTTCTTTTCTGGTTTTTTTTTTCTTTTATTTTTATACAACCTTTTTATAAATTTCCTCCTTTTGTCTCGTGCTCTTGAGAAGAAAAAAGAATTAGAAAGAAAAGTTTAACAGTCATGAATAGGCCATACAACAGTCAGCGAAGTATCAAGAGAGTATCTTTATAGTACAAAATTCTTAGAAAGTTTTGGATCCTGAGAGAAGCGAATAGTTGTTATGACAAGTCAACTTGGGCAATATGCTTGGGTAAAGCATAGTGGACATTTGTTTTAATTAGTTAAAAAATGTAAACAAGTAAACAATATACATAAGGCCATGCAAAATTAATTAATTGGTTTTCATAACCCGGCCGGGTCAAAATTTGAAAACTTTTAAAAAAAAATTTTATATGTTTTAATAACCGGGTGGGTTTTAAAAAAAAATTTTATATAAATTTAATAAAATTTTATATATAAAATTTAAAAAAAAAAGACGGCCGGCCGGGTCTATTTAAAAGTTTCATGTTATGAAAACCAAGTAATTAAATTTGTATGGCCTAATATTAAAAGATTATTTTATAAATAAATTTAAGATTTAATATATAAAAAATAAACGAAATTGCATACATGCGGCGGTACCATTCTTATAGTTTACTAAATTACGTATCTTTGAAATAATTTAAAATATGTTATCTTTAAAATGAAAATCCGAGCAATAATAATTAGATAATACTTGCATTCAAATAGTTTAACATTTTAAAAAGCTATTACCGCTAAGTAAAAGTTCAATTTCTTCTATATAACTATTTTACCATTGAAAGGAAAGAATCTTTAAATTAGTAAGGCTTCGGGCAAATACTAGAAGCAGCGAAAAAAGCGCAGCTACCTTTTTTGAAATTTGTGGCTTATCTTAAATGACCTCACCATCATACAAAACTAAGATTTCATATCAAAATTACAGTAATAGGGTTCAATGATTTAAATGATCTTAAGATCAGGTGATTCTCCGATAATGCGTACCCTCTTGAAATCCATGAATAATTATCTTGTAGTAATATCGCATGAAATAGACACAGCAAATAAGTATTGACTACCAATGATGGTTTTGCTTTAAACTAAAATTGAATTCACAAGCTCGACTCTTTAGAAATAAAATTGTGGATTTAATTTTGGTTTAAAGAATTAACAGAATTATTACCTTAGAAAGTTTGTGATCTTAAGAAAACGACAATATAATAAGGTTTTTTATATTTACCGTAAATAGCCGTATACAAGACCCAGGACTCTTACATTCCACCAATTTTAAATCCTTTAATAGACCCCGGGTCTAGTTTGCAGCTGAGAGTTGGGACACTTAAAGAACAATGAACCCAGTGATCATCACATCATGTGAAATCATGGAATGACGTCATTTGTTTACTAGCACTAACAAACTTGGCCTAAACAATATTATCACCTAACCCTAACACTAACACTAACTTAGGCCTAGTGTTTAATCATGTGATGTGATGATCACGAGATATCACTGGGTTCACTCTTCTTGAAACTACCCAACCACACTCATACTTTGGCAAGTATTCTTTAAACCTAGTTATTTGGATTATATGGGGTCTTTGCCTTGAAAATGACCTTACGGTACATGATACCGTAGGGTCATTTTCAAGGAAAAGACCCATATGATCAGATATTCAAAAGAAAATTCACTTTTTTAACATATTAGAATCTCGATTACGTCATAAATAATCTGGAATTTCCTTGAGTATCAATAAAATTGCCGTTTTTAATGGCTTGCTGGCTTAATTTGTAATTTTTTTGATTATTGTTATTTCAATTTCTTATAAACAACCTAAGCTTTTATAATACGCTAGCCATGGCGAAAAAGAGTGACAGCCATTGTGAGATCCTATTCGAACTATTGGATAAAACTGATGATCCTTAGTAACAAAATTATATATTTTTATTCTTGATGAAGATATATCAGTAATTATCTACAAAAATGGATGAAAACTTTTTTATATTAATTGTACGAACATAGGAATAAATTAAAATATTTTTCAGCAATTTATTTAAGTATATATCGTGATATTATCGCTCAAAACTTGAAAAAAACTAACCCACAGTCTTTTGATAATCCCCTAAAGCATAATTTTTCTACACCGGCTTCGTCTAATAGTTAATTGTCTGAGACCTTTTTCCGAATACTCCTGAGAACATAAAAAGACGGATAATACTTTTGGAACACCTTTCGAACTATTGATCTATCACATTTTACAGTTTTTATACACTGCAAAAATTTTATTACATATTGAAACAATAAACTTCACTTTGCATCATCGAATTTAATTATCTTAATTACACAAATCTACGTATAAGGTACTGTACGTATTTATGTACTACCTATAGAATATGTGTCATCAAGCATCAACAAATATGTACAATTAATCTTTGATATCTTTAGTTTTGAGCTTTTAATCATATTTTATGAGAAAAAAATCCAATAATCCTCTTTATTTAAATATTTTGAAAATCTCAAATTTGTGATTACTTTCTTCTAATAGCACACTTTCTTTTTTATATAGTCCAATTATTCTACAATATTTTGCTCGCCCGAATAAATATGGTGATATCTATGAAATTCAATTTGGTGGTTTCTGTAACTTTTGATCATGCAAAATTCAAGATCATTTGAGAAATCTTAATTGATTATAATTACTGAAAGTAAACTCTTGGTCTTATTCTTGTGAAGCGGGTTTTTGTATACTTCCATATATATTCGAATCAATTTTAGAAATTTATTATTAGTACGAATCAAATTTTGCGGGTTATCTCGAGATTTACTTGTTTTTTTTTTCCTAAACTTGCTCATATTTTACATTCGTTAATTTCTATTCGAGATATTGATTTTTAAAAATAAGTCAAATCAATTAATAGCTGTAACTTTTTCATTCTATATACTGTATATGCGAATCTAGTCCAGGGCGATGACCATTTTTTCTGTAGGTTATATAAACTGAAAACTTCGAGACTTTATAAAAATTGAATTTTGATATTCCAGATTATATTTTCAAAATTGATGTAGTATTCAAACACTGTTAGGCGTAATGTGATAATATTACTAAGTCATAGAGTTGATAACTAAGGTTAGATTTAGAGTAGTTTAGTGTCTATTAATAAGACTTCACAAAAAAATATCAAATAGTTTATTAATTAACACTACTTCTGTTTTTTTTTTTTATTGTAAATTTGATTGGTCAAAATTATAGGGTAGGGTGAAAATTTTATCGTAGGTGCGCTAGAGTTACCTAGATATTAGAACACCAAAATTCTTTATAAGCATTTACACTAATTTGGGCAGATAATGACATTGCAGCATCTCGGTACTGAGTAAACTTTAAAATAGCAACGTGAAGACCTTTTTTGGACATTCCTCTTTTTGTTTTGCAACCGATTAACTGATAATCATTTTAGTGATTTAGGGCGTTCTCAAGCATAAGCAAAACAAAGCAAAGCACCCACCTCAAAAAATCTGATTGGCTAGTTTGATTAAACTAACCAATCAGATTCGTTATCGAGTCCATTGAGGTAGATGCTTGAGAACACCTTTATTTGATTTATTGTACATATGTACCTACGTTGTAGTAGGGAAGTCTAATAGGTAGTGACTAACTAATACACAATACAACCAACTAACACCTAAAAATCTGTAGAATGACAAGGCTGAAACTCCAAAATTGAAGGCGTTGATCGAGGCGTGGAAGATTTGGTCCAAGTTTTTCAGAGCTTGGGTCTTGTAATCACAATGCCGGGTCTCAGATAAGTCTCCTTTTACTGTACTTATTGTTCGATATTAGCTTGTATTGTATTATGTCAATATAATACTTATAGTTCTACGTATTCTTTCATTTGGGTCTGCTGATTATTTCGATTGATCACCGTAATCGGAGAACAATGACGAATTTGATCAAAGTTTTGTCAATAATTAATTCAATATAAAAGGGGCTCTCTTTTTATTTTTATGAAACTGAAATACTGAATTTACAACGTAACACGGGACAAGGTATTAATACGAATCAGAATTACAATAACGATTGGGCTTTAAGAGAACTACTACTATTATTACTTTGTAGTTAGAACTCAAAGTGAGTTATCCTTTTATTCAAGTACACATTGGGTCTTTATATACATTTTTCACTATAAGAGAACTATTCTAACGTATCTTCTCTACCTACCGTTTCCTCTACTTCGCCTAATCTGACATTTCTGCCATATCTGGCAGATTTGGCAGATTACCGGCCAAATCGAGCAAAAATTATCCCGAGCCATCTCGGTGACGCTCTTTCCCTATTACAACGTACATGCAAGTGTGTAAAGATTTACCAAAATGAGTTTAAAAACTTACAGCGATAGCGAATTTGACGTAAAAATAATCGTTGGAAATGGACGAAATACTAAAGAATTTAAAGCACATTCAACTATTTTAAGTTCACGTTCTCTTTATTTTCAAAGAGCTTTATCTGAGCGATGGAATAACAAGGATCATGATTTTTATGTTTTTAAAAATCCAAATATTAATCCATATACTTTTAAAATCATTCTTGAGTAAGTTTTAATTATACTGTTTTATTTAGTTATGTACATATCTTTTATAGTAATTATCTGCTAACGAAATTTTTTTATAATTTTATAAGTTATATTTATAAAGAAAAAACCGTATTACGAGCATCTGCCGAAACTTGTTTAAATTTAATTGCTGCATGTGACGAACTTGAACTCCTTAATCTTGCGGAATGTGCACAGGGACATTTAATTAATAAACATTCTTCTTGGTTATTTTCGAATCTTATAACATCACTTAATTTTACTTGTCAACATGATCATTTCCATAAGTTATATAATCTTGTTTTAAATTTCGCTTGCAAAAATCCTTATTCACTTTTTGATTCTAAACAATTTTTATCATTGGATAAATTGGCTCTAATATGTCTTTTAAAAAGGGATGATCTCGATATTGAAGAAATAGAAATTTGGAATTATTTGATTAAATGGGGAATTGCTAATTCTAAAAATCTTCTTGATGAAAATATCTCAAGTTTGTATGATGATGAAGATATTACAAGTTGGTCTGATAATCAATTTGAAGCATTAAAAGAAACAATTTCTCAATGCATTCCCTTAATTCGTTATTGTCATATTCCTAAAAGCTATATTGATAAACAAATTAAACAATATCATTTAGATAATAGTACATTTATCAAATACAATACTTATGAAAGAGGGATTTCCAAAATAATAACTAATGATATTAAAACTACAATCTCAAGTTGGATTGATCAAAAAAACAGTAACTATTATACTAATATTACTGATCCTTATAAATTTAAACTTTTATTACGTGGTAGTAGAGATGGTTTTGATATTCATACGTTTCATGAATTATGTGATTTTCAAGGCCCAACTATTGTAATACTTAGGATTAAAGAAACTGGTGAATTGATAGGTGGATATAATCCTACTTATTGGGCTAAATCGAATTCCAATTTTGATTATGAATTTAATAATGGATATTATAGATTTAAAGAGATAACTTATTCTAGTAAAACTTCAAATAGTTTTATTTTTTCATTTACAGATCCATCAAATCCAATATTAAGTAGAGTGGTTACAGAAAGAACTAATAAGGCTATCTGGAGCGATAAATACCATGGGCCTTGTTTTGGAGCTTTAGATTTACATATGAATTTAGATTGTTGGAGTTATGCACATACGGATTACTATTATAGTATAACTAATTCGGATCAGTTTACTGTTGATGAATATGAAGTTTTTTCAATTGATAATCAAAGAACAAGTGTAGTGCTAAAAACGTTTCTGGAGTTTCTGGAGCTGGTAGATTATTCTATTGTCAAGATCGAAAATTATATATATTTATTTGTTTTTAATTCTTTTTATTTAGTTTTAATTGCGCCTTTCCTTTCTTTTTTTATTTCATCCTTTATCATACTTAGATCATTATCAAATTCCGACTTGGTTATTGCCGTCTATGTTATTTATTATTTTTACCATTATCAAATTCCGACTTGGTTTTTGCCATCTATTTATTTATTATTTTTACCATTAATTAAATAGCTCCTTATTTGGTCACTATATTTTTATATGTTGGGGTCGTTGACTCAAATTTTTTGCATAAATTTGAATTTAAAAAATTAGTGAATTTTTATTGTTTCATATTTGATATATTATAAAATAAAGCTTTATATTGAAATTAATAGGTAATCTTTAAATGAATTTTTTGATTGTCATATTACTGAAAATTTGGGATAGTTGTGATTGAAGCTACCCTTTATTATTTGTTTTATTTATTATTCATTTGTATATGTACTAAGATAAATAAAAATGAATTTTTACAAGCTATAGCCATGGCTTTAGCCTTAGTTGAACTAAGTTGACTATTATATTACTAGTATGTATACATTTTACATTTTGGTTATTTCATGTAGAGTTAACATAACTTCCGCAGATGAATAGTATTCGATGTACTTTTATAAAAGATAAACGATTTTCTATATCTCTGGTTTTATAATTATTATTTTAATCGGTTTAAAAATAGAGATGGACAATAAGAATTCTTCAAATATGCAAGGGAAAATATTGTCTCATGAATCTGATGTATGAATTTGATGTATGAATTTGATGTATGAATTTGATGTATGAATTTGATGTTTGAACTTGGTATATGAATTTGATGTATGAATTCGATTTTAAACGTTACACAAAATAATTTATATTGGTCAAAAATCAAAAATAACTTTTCTCCAAATTTTTTGATATACTTTCTAAAAGCTTTTAAACGATGATGATGATGAGTGTAATGTTATTATTGAAGTTGGAGAATCACCAAATAATCAAGTGTTTAAAGTATATTATAAAATTTGATTTTAATCTATTATTGATATCTTGCAATCTAGTAATTAAATTTTGATTGTTTTAGCATTATTCAAATTGCTTTATCAAGATGATTCGAATAGTACTAAAATTATTAACGTTTAACTACTAGATTGCAAGATATCAACAATAGATCAAAATTTTGTGTAATATTACTAATTTGATTGGTATTCAATGCAAAATTTCCCACATTATTATGCCAAATGAGTAAATATCAGATGACATGGTATTTGCTTTTCCCATCAAAGCCTCTATATCTATATATGGTAATATTCCATAACGATATCTTTTGCTAGATTTCTTCTTTTTTTTAATTCAATGTTAGCTGATATTGAAAGTTCTAAATCTGCAATATATGCACTTTAAAACTATCTTGCAAAGTATTACCGTTGTGTAGACCTCAATGAATTATATTTTTTGAGTAGATGGGTTTAAGATGAGAAATAATGCAAAGTAAGGGTATTAATTGTCTTTCCATTCATTTACGCTACGGAATGCAAATTATTATGCAGACAATAGGGTTGCGACCCAAACCTACTAGCTTGGGATTTGGTAGAATCCCAAATAGTATTTAATAAGTTTCGCAAAAATGCCTCTAATTTGTCGTAATCACAAACCTTCTGACATATAAATTACATTATAGCTAGAAATGCAATTTTTTTGCATATAAAATCGGAATTGAGACTCATCCCAAACAAAGAGATCGTTTAAAGTCCAGCACCTTAGCCAATAAGATCATGACAAGATCATGAAAGTTTAACATCAAATCACGATTTACCTATAAGTCACTTTGTTTTGCATACTTTTCATATAGCCAACAATTCGTACACTCCATTTATAATACACATTACTCAGGATATATCGATAATTTTTTTCATTTGAAAAAAAATTTAAAGTGTGATACGTAATAATTATTTCACGGTTTATCATAGATATACGGATCAATCTCGATATTATTCAGTATTGCAGCGCAGCCGCAATGATGAATGAGATTTTAATGACATCGACGACAAATACATGTAATTACACAAATCCGTGGAAAAATATCAACCATAAAAATATCAGTAAAAAAGGCCATAGATGACAACTAGGAGCCATGTAGTAAAGTGTGCTATACCGACATTTTATATTAGAAAATTTTTGAAAAAATGTTGATATAGAAAGATTTTACTATGAGGTCGTTATATTTAGATGTTGATATAATGTATCCCTTAGTCCGTATGTAAATTCGGGGCAAATTTGCCCCTAATTTTATATGATCATTTTTGCATAATTTAATTATAATTAATATATTATAAATCGATTTCAAAATCAGTAAAAAACAACAAAAAACAAATATTTAATAAATTTATCATTTTTTACTATGAAAATCTTTAAAAAATTAGATCACACATTAGAAGGACAAAGAAGTACATTACATCTAATACATCAAAATTGAGTCTGAGAAATTGCCCAATTTTTTTTTTATTTTTGTCATTATTTTTCATTAAATAACGACAATATAGACATGTTTTTCTTTTTTTTTGCTATTCTATTAGACGATTTCCTGGAGAATTCAACTTATAGGTAGGTTAAAATTTTTAGTAACATATGCAATTCTCTTTTTCTTTATTCATTTCTCTACTCATTTTTTTCCCTTTCCACTTACCCTACTTTTTCACTTTGCTTGTAAGTGCTTTTTGCACTTTCTTCATATTTAGAATCTATGGCATAATCAGTAATATAACCTTGTTCTTCTATCATAAATAGATCTTCATAATCTATTGTGTTATTAATTCTCATCTCTCCATGATTATTATGTTTAAAGATAAAATATTAAAATCAGGAGAAGAGCTATCATCAGCAGCATCATACTTATCATTAGAAGTATTATAATTGGCAATACTATCACTATCAGTTATAGTGTAAGCTGTTTTTTTTTTAAAAAAAATAAAAATATAGAGAATTAAAAGTGTCGATCTTTTATATTCAAAGAACATCTTTAGAAGTTTGTTAAACCTTATTGTTTTTGTTTATGGCTGTTGTAGTTACATGTGTTTACATTGTGTCACAAACAATAGAGATACTTTTAGTAAATTTAATGGTAGTGTGAACAATTTGCCAGGAACAGGGAAATTTGCTCTAAATATGGACTAAGCGATAAATTTTACTATTATGATATTGATAGAATAAACCAAATAAACCATTATAACAAGTTTTATTTTTTTATACCTGTATGCAGATTGCAAATCAAGTAAAACAAAATAAGTATATACTAGTGCAATATATATAATATATAAATTGATAATACAGGTAGATTAAGTATAACTTGTACATATTACAAATTTAAAAAACTTAAATAGTTTTTATATTTAAAACAGTAACTAGACAAGGAAATTTAACATATCATCATGATTTTTTAAAATTATATTTTTTGATCACACATTTTAATTGCACTTTCTTATTATATTATTTAAACTCATACATATATCGAATACTTTGATTTTATATAGAAATCTTAAGGTAGAATTATAATCATTTAAATATAACTATATTCTTTAGCACTTTGTTTCTGCTATTATCTAACAATCAATTTCTTCCTAAGTTTTAACAATGAAAATGAATTCTGCTTGTTTATTACCTGGCAGCACTCAAAATTTTTACTTGTTATTAGCTTAAATATATTTAATTAATTAATAATCAATCCATCTATAGTTCTTGAATTCCAATCTTTAAACATGAATATATCTAAAAATAAAAAAATGTATATTTTAAAATAACATGCTATATAAAATATGCATGATATCATGTGATATAATTTTTTTGATTTTATATTTTCTTTCTAGAAAATATCAGATATTTGTTAAAACTTTTCCTGACTTCTGTTCATTTATATTCTTTTAGAATTTTTTAAAACTTTTGTATTTCTATTTCTTAATTTTGTCTAGCATTATACACTTTGACCTAAATTAAATATGCTTTAATTTTCCTATATAAAATTTAAATATAATAAAATGTTCATAAAACTCATCTCTAGATATACCTGATTAAGAGTCAAATTTGTTAAATAATTTAAAGATTATTCTATTAGATACTGAATATTTATTTAATAAATTGATAGTTTTAGTTTGACACTATTTTCTAAAATGGTTACATATTTGGGTTTTGGTTATAAATTCAAACTAGATAGATATACCAATTCCCAAACCTAAACTAAGTAGAAACACCATAACTAAAAAAAAAGACAACTCTTGAAAGCATGTCCCATAATAAGTATATAATCTTTTGAATTGTCACCTATTCTAAAGATAATATCCAACATCACAATATGCTTTTAACTTTAATAGATAGGATTTACCTATACTAAATCTAGTATATTGTACTAGATTTTGACATTTTTAAACTAGATTATCTATAATTTTTAAAGTTTTTTTTATTAATATTAAAGTATAGGCCTGCCCTAGACTTTTATTAATACTTAAGCAAGTTGATATATAGTAGTGCTGAAATATATACATATTACATACTAGAACTAGGACTAAGACTTTAAATCAAAGACTATTTATCCATAGCTAAAACCCACCAGAGTTATTAACACTCTCACACATATAATTAACCTAGATTTATGCATTCCTCTTCAACCACCAATTAGTATTCACATGTTTGTCACTTTACCTACATACCTAATATCTTAACTCTCAAATTGGTGTATACCAGGTGGGTGCTTATTGCTCCCAGTTTGGTGTGTCTGGTTCCAACTAGTGTACTTTCAGAATTTCGTATCTCAAACTATGCAGCTGCCTCTACTCAATTGGGTAAGTATCTCAAGCCTGCATGCTGTCGTAACTAGCTAGTTTTTTGCAACTTTTAAGACCCAGGTCTTAATGTTTCAAATTTGGTGATATGCAAACAACTGTACTTCCCAATATAGTGATAAGGCTTGCCCAGACATGTTTTGTATATGCTTCTAGTACTCAATATAGTTAGATAAGATCATGAGGCCTAGGTGTTCTTAACAGATGCATCATTGTTTCTATTTGTAGTGATTCTTGCTGCATTCACTTATATTAGCTATACCTGTATTGGTAGTCCAAAGTCCTCTTAATATTCAAAAACTTCAAATAAGTAAGACCAGAGCCTGTTAGGTCTATTAATACATACATGCCTCTATACTTCAACTTCTTATTAGTCAGTGAGTTCCATATATGTCAAAGATGTTCTAAATCTAATAAAGCCAATTCTTTGCCAAAGTCGCTTTGCATTTATCATATTTTTCACCACTTTTCAATTCTAGTTACTGCCCAGTTATCCTCCCAAACAAGATTCCCAATGCCACCTTAGGGGTTGTTGGTGCTACCTTGCTAATCACAGATTTACATACACAATTTTTGTATAATAGAACCTTTTGTAACAACTACCATTACATGTAGTGCCAACTACTCTACAATAGATCTTCTTCCAGAAATTTCTAATCCAGACCTGTATTCACTTGAACTTTCTACAACAGATATTTCCAAATACTTATAAGTATATATACCTACTAGGACTTGAACCCAAAACCTGCTCATAGAGAGTTGGATATCTAGACCACTAGGCTGTGAGATCCCAACTCCATTAACTTTTAAAGTTAACTACTATATTAAATATTTTTATATTATAATTTAACTCTTGGGTATCTTGTAAAAAAAAAGCTAATAGCTTTAAATTTTTTTTTAAATTTTATAAAAATTTTTTTTCTAGAACTTTTAGTTTTAATCTAATTTTATATAGTAGTGATTAGCTATTTTATAAGTTATTTGTACCTATTTGTACTTATAAAATTTTTTTTATTAAATAAATTTATAAAATTTTCAATAAAAGTTATAAAGTTTGTTAATTCATATATAAAATTTTTGAAAACAAATCAATATGTAAGAAATAATTTGAATTTAAAGTTTTTACTAATAATTACTATATAAATTAGTGCTTTTATGTTTAGTCTGAGCTCAGTTTAGTCTAGGTCTAGTCCAGTA